ATGGACACTCCCTAACACACGAGGATCTAACTCTATCTCTTCTACTACTAACACAGGCTGGCGCAGCTATGGCTGCTTCAGCAAGCCAGCGCCCAGCATCTCTCTTGCTTGCGCAGCATCAAGCCAGCACTCTCCCTCTGCATGCTAGCGCACAAGTGCCTTCAGCACTTTCACACGTCAATGCTGCTGGAGATCTGTCATGTGGGAGGCTGGTCTGCTCCTTTATACTAATGGCATGGCCTTGCGAGGCCTGAATCAGCCTCCCTTGGGACTCTTTTCCCTGTCCCAGGCTGTGTAGAGTGTGTCCCAGTACCTTTCCCTCAAGGTCTGCCTCTGCTGCGGCCTTCAGGCCTGAATTTCGGACTTGGGACCTGTATCTAGACTCTCCCTCTGACTTAATTCGTGACTGGGACTGAACCTTTTGACTTCTGTTTGAAGAGGCACACCTACAGCCCGAACAGACACACATTCTGTACGAACAGACACACATACTGCACGTACAGACACATCTCCTGCATGAACAGACATGACTTGCACTCCCCCTGGATGAACAGACGTGACTCCTATATCTGAATGTTGCAACTGTTCGTCCAGAGGCACAGCTGTGACCTTTGATATCGACTTATACTTAGCTAGGATGTGACTGTTGGCCCAGAGAACATGTCCGTTGATCTGCTTTCACGAGTTGGACCCTAGCGGAGTGACCCTACTATGCTGCATTTGTCAAACAGGGTCTGAATCGGGTAAAGGCCCTTTTACTATAGCCCATACCCATTCCTGCTGGTCTGGGACAGAGTGTTTCCATGGACTTCATGGATAACCTCGTGACCAGCAAGAGTGGCAAGAGGCATATCTTCATCATAGTTGATAGGTTTACTAAGTTCGCCAGACTGATTGGCATGCCAAAGACAGAAAGGACTGAGCACGTCATCAAGTTGTTCATGAATAACTGGGTGCGTGACTTTGGACTTCCAAGGACTATCGTTAGTGAGATGTCCGTTTCACAAGTGAAATGTGGAAGAAGGCTGCAGAACAGAGGGGCAGCCAACTCCAGATGACTTCTGGGAATCATCCCGAAGCCATCTGGCAGGCTGAACAGATGAACCAAGTGGTGCAGCATGTGCTGAAGCATTACATAAAGCCCAGCCAAGATGGCTGGGATGAGAAGCTACCTCTCATCACCAGCCTGTACAAGAACGCTGTGCACAGCACCACAGGAGTCAGTCCGAATAAGCTACGCTTGGGGTGGAAGCCCATATCTTCTCTAAACTTCCTCCTGCCTGAAAACGGACCTGCTGCAACTCCTGGAACCATTGAATTTGGTGTCGAGTACGAGAAGTTGCTGCAGCAAGCTGTCAAACACATCAAGAAATATCAGGAAGCCATGTCTAGTGAGTTAGGACAGGAATTCAGCATCTCTAAGAAACTAATGCCTCGATACTTTGGTCCTTGGGAAGTTTTGGATATTGTGTGTAGCGAAGACGATGGTCCCTCATATGTTATTTGAATCCCTGGTCACCTACGCACTTACCATCTGTTTCACACCTCAAAGCTTGCACCTTTCGCTGAGGCACAGCAGTTCGCATCAAGGAGATCTATGCTGCCCCCAACCATGGATGGCCACGTGGACGTCGGTGATATTTTGGAGCACAGAGACATGCCTGTTCCTAAGCCTGTGGGCAGAGGAAGACCGCTGAAACCCAAGAGAGAATACAGGTTCAGATTCAGGCATCACACGGATCCAAAAGAAGACCGATGGTTCACCAAAGAGGAACTAATTGAGACAGCACCTCAGATTGTGGCAGACTACGAATGAAGGTTAAAGGGGAAGGCGGTTGCATAGAAGCATCTAAGCGGACTTTCGAAGCTAAGGGGGATGGAATGTGAGGAATCTTGGTGCAATTGTGCTCTCTGCTTGTACATGACTATCTGGACTTATGCGTGATTTTGCAACTTGGTTATCTGGACTTATGAGTGATTGTGCTCTCTGCTTGTACATGACTATCTGCACTATATCATGACTATCTCGCTCTCACTCATATTCCTTGCACAAGCACAAACAAAAAAAAAAAAAAAGGAAAAAAAAAAGAAAGGAAAAGAACAGCTGTGCACGGGAAATCTGAAACGACCTGCTCCCGGAAGGGCGTGGACGGCAGCGTCAAGATCTGGAGGGACTGGGGCCCGGTCACACTGCTCTCCACACTTCGAAAATGAGATGAATCTTCCCCCAAAATATGGGTTGTTACAGAGAAGATAAGCATGACCCCGTGCAACGTTAGGCCGCGGTCCACTGCTCTCCACATGCACAAAAGAGCGAAAACACAGTCACCCGTGGTGCATCTTTCCAGGTTCTGGCCGAAGAATCAGTCTCATTTTGCACATTTGGTGGGTAGTGGAGCGATGTGCGTGGATATGGGTCCTCGGCAGGCCTAAGGGGCCCCTTGCAGCAAATGTGCCCGCCCTAAGTGAAGGCGGGCCTAACAAATCACGAGAGGCCCTTGGCTGTCAATTTCGCATTTGGGGTCCAGGCAGTTTCGTCGCGCCAGTTGGTTGAAGGGAAACACAGGCCGAGCAGGGTGGAAATTCCCAGGCCTTCTCGGCCTTTCCGAAAGCACAGGCCCTGGGCGAGATTCACAGCCTCATACACAGAGAGTTGGGAGGCCCAACCGAATGAGGCCCAGTAGCTGCAGCAGAGGCGCGGCATCCTGGGGCCTACCGAAAGCTTCTGGGCCCAGACCAGTCCAGCCAGGCTGCCGAATGAGGCAGGCTCTTTCCATATAGGAAAGAGCTCGCTGCCTGGCCAGGGATTCGGGCACTCGCATGCTGGCGGCAGCGCTGCTGGAGCTGAAGCTCGTGGGCTGCTGCTAGCGCTGAGTGGTGAGGTGCAGGCACGTGCGGTCGTGCAGGGAGCAGGGCGCTGCTGAGGGCAGCGCCATAGCCCAGCCTCCATAGCTGGCAGGGCTTGGATGTACAGTGAGGCGCAGGGGTGGTCTTCGGGTGTACAACAAAGGGAGACGTGGGAGAGAGTCAAGGGGGAGAGAGAAGGATGATGATGATGATGATGTGAGGGCACATACCTGGTATTGGCGATGGTTCTGCATGGGCGACATCTTCAAGTACTTCTGGTGCTGCTGACGTCAACAGTTGCATTGTCAATTAGCAGGCTAGTAGTAGCTGTGTAGGGAGTAGGCTGGGCGCCGAGCGCCAAGTAGGGAGATAGAGACTGGATACATATGTTGATGGTGGCGAGAGCAAGCTCTCATTGACATTGACTTTCAGTGCTACGATTCTCCATTGGTGTTATATTGGTGCAATGCTGCTTCCTGAACACGTGTTACGAATTGGTTTTCAATGTGATTGTGCAATCTGAATATTGTCATCTCGCTTCTGTTCATTTTCCTTGCAGATGCCCAATGGCACGCGTAAATAGAAAAAATGGTCCAAATTGGGAAAAAAGAAAAGCCCGGTAACTTTTATCGTTTGTGAATGTGGTGAGTTGTGGAGCGAGGCTGCTGGACCCTCGAATGAATCTCCCCCCAAAGCATTGAAAGATACAGAGAAGATTAGCATGGTCCTGCACAACGTGTCATGCAGATATTGAGAATCCAAATTGGCCCAGAAAAAAAAAGAACTCGAATGGGGGGGGGGAAAAACAAAAAAAAAGGACAATTTTTGCCTTTCGTGAACGTGTCAGGTAGAGGCTCGAGGTTGTGCATCCTTCAAATTCCCGTTGGCTATGCTACTGTAGACCAGCAAAATGGGAAGGAATCGTCCCCTAGAATGTGGAATGATACAGAGAAACCATGCACCTGAGCCACACTGCCCCATCTGCTGCTATTTTTTTTTGGGTGACCTGACTATCCTGCCAACCCCGCCGTTGACGGCTCTTCTGACATTCACGGTCGCAAGTAGAGGGAAAGAGAAAAGAGGAAAAACAAAAGAAACGAAGAAGCGACGAGAAAAAGAAACGATGGACGTACAAGTACCGGGCACCTGCTTTGAACGACCAGTCCCCCACTGTATTTCCTTTGCCCATTAGCTGCTCTCGCACAAACAAAGAGGCTCGATGGTTTGCTAAAAGAATGGTTCGGGAAGGGTGCTTCGGGGGTATTGGTGGTCCAAGCCCCATACTACTCCCCAACTTCCCTTTTGTTGACCCGTCACAGAATTGGAAGATAAGGCCGGATTCTGACGGCTCAGGCAAACTGCAGATCTGCTGAGCAGTTGGGGTCCTTTTTCCTTCCCCAGGTTCTTGCCCCATTTTGAACCCACTGGGAGCCTGCTTGCACAACCCAGGCCTGCCTGGCCAGGGGGGGTGGGCAAGTAGCCTAGAGTGGTATCAAATGGGCTCCTGGTCGGCTGCCTGGCCACCGGAGCCCACAGGAGCTTAAGGTGATACACACTCCATCGAGCGATGTAAATGGAGCCAAGGATCCACAAAGTGATGAAAAGGACGCAAATGGACAGTGCAGCATCAGCAAAGCATCAATAAGTAATGCACATCCAGATGCTTATGAAAATAACACATTGTAGTTTAACGGAAGACTCAAAGATATGACCTGACCTGTCAGATACTGACGCAACACCCCATCATACGCCACACATGTGAGAGTGAGAGGAGGGATTGCATATATAGAAGAAATGTCCCTCCTTGAGCACGCACATGGGGAGATACAACGGGTGAGGAGGTGGGAGGAGAGGCGAGACGAAGATGGAGAGGAGGGAGAAGACCAAGATCGCGTTAGCGAAGTCCCAAAGTAGTCTTCCCGCCGAATGTCCCAATCAATGTCTGCCACAAAAATGTCGAAGCAGATCCTGGGTCTCATAGCCCGATGTAACCTCTGGCTGTTAACTCTCTCTCTCTCTCTCTCTCTCTCTCTGTGGAAGAAGAAGAAGAAGAAATAGAAGGAGAAGAAGAAAAGAAGAGAAGAGAAATGGAGATGGAGGGCGAGAACAGCAGGAAGAAGAAGATGCCGCCCTTCTCGCTGTCTCACCTGCAGGTAACTGCCACGATGTACGAGCTGCCGGCGTGCCTCTGATGCAGGTCGCTGGCATGGGCTCCAGCTATGGCGCCCAGGTAAGTACCGCTGCTACGGGTATGGCCACCACATCTCTCTCTCTCTCTACCTACTCTACTTCTAGCGCAGCGACGTGTCGCGCTGCTCCAGCATTGTGCCGCCCAAGAAGTCAGAGACTCGAACTGTGTGTCTGCTCTGGCCTGGCCCAGCTATTAGTGCTGGGCCTCGCTGGTGTGCCTCTGGTCTTGGGCTGAAACAGCCTGCTTGGGTCCCTACCGGAGATGGAGGGCGAGAACAGCAGGAAGAAGAAGATGCTGCCCTTCTCGCTTTCTCACCTGCAGGTAACTGCCACGATGTACGAGCTTCCGGCGTGCCTCTGATGCAGGTCGCTGGCATGGGCTCCAGCTATGGCGCCCAGGTAAGTACCGCTGCTGCGGGTATGGCCACTGCCTCTCTCTCTCTCTCTACCTACTCTACTTCCAGCGCAGCGACGTGTCGCGCTGCTCCAGCATTGTGCCGCCCAAGAAGTCAGAGACTCGAGCTGTGTGTCTGCCCTGGCCTGGCCCAGCTATAAGTAGTGCTGGGCCTCGCTGGTGTGCCTCTGGTCTTGGGCTGAAACAGCCTGCTTGGGTCCCTACCGGACGTCCAGGCCCTCCCTGCTGATGCAGCAGGGAGTGTCCACTACTGGACGAACACAAACGTGGCCCGAACGGGCCTGACTGCGAGCGAAGAGGGCCCAAAGCGTGGCCTTTGTCCGAACAGACCGAAAGTCTGTTCGGACGAACTGCAAAGTCCGAAACGACGCCTGAACAGACAAAAATAGAAAATACGTAAATAAAGAAATGAATGCTGCCTCAAATCGAATCCTGTGGTCCTAAGGTTGGCCATGGGCCTCCAGGGCTCATGTCTGAATAGCGTGCGACCTGGGGGGCCCCAGCAACCGCCGGGCCTCCGAAATGGGGCCCATGTGCAGTCTTAGGATGTAACATTAGGCCTGCTGGTGAACGATACCATGTATCTTTGATATGATGTAATCCAGTCTATGGTGTTGCCCATAGGAGGCTGTGAATCTTAGGAAACGCTATAGGAGGTAATCTCTTCTGTCAGCCATGAGTAGCAAGCAATGTATTGCGAACAGGTTGCTTGGCGAAAGGGGCTTCTGTGAAACAGCTTCCAAATCAGAGAAATCGAGAGAGAGGGAAAGAGATGTAATGTGGAGATGTCATGCTCTGATATACATTCAGTAATCTCTATCCCTCCTAAAGGCTAAAGTGATCCTCAGCTGACGCCCCCCCCCCCCCCCCCAACCACCACCACCAAAAATTCCGGGAAGAAGGTGGCACTGCTGGGACACCTGGCACTGTGAAGGGCAGAGTCAAATAGCAGGCATAATTGCAGGAGGAAGTGTCGTTTCATTTTGTTTCCTTTTTTTGTCCTCTTGAGGAGGTTGAGAGGGCTGTTTCGTTTCGTTTCGTGTTTTTGTCCTTCTGTGGCGGCTGAGAGGGCGAGAGTGCTCTCGACATGTCATTTCAGGAGCAGGTCGTTCCTGAATTTTGTCTTTTTTATTGAAGCAGCAGTCCGAGTAGTATATCGGCCTCGTTCCACTTGTCTCCACATGCACAAATCTGACTGTAATTGTGGCTGGATGCATTTTGGAAAGTGGTTAGTGCAAGTATGCCCTTATGCGACTTTTCCTGACAACGTTGCGATTTCAAACCCTTTTTTTTTCTTTTTTTTTTGTTTTTTTGCGGATTCACTTGTATTCGAACACGTGCGTGCTCCAGTAGCAGAGGCCCCTCAGTGTTGTTTTTCCCCTTTTTTTGGCACTTGTTCCGGCACGCGGAGTGAGTCCAGCTTTCAAACAAGTTCACAGGGTCCCCGTTGTGCTTGGCCCAAATCGCGACAGCTGGCTGTGGAGCTGAGGCTGGCCCGGATGCTCTCTCTGCATGTTCAATAGCAAGCTGTCTTCGATCTGGCTGTGTGGTACGTCCACATTCAGGCGCCCGTTGGTACCCTCTTGTAATGAACCCAGACTGTGAGATACTCGTCAGACGTCGAAGCACAAGTAGACTCAGATCTGCACAATGTCTCCAGTTATCGTGAAAGTGATATCTGATACAACATCTCGTTACCAATAGATGAAGAGAGGGGAGGGGGAATAGACAGAGGAGAGGGTGGAAGAGATAATCAGTGACCACACACGAGTAGCCCAATCATTTCCCACCCCTTCTCCTGGTTTCCCGTCGCCTCCACACCATCAATCAATATACAGTAACAAGTCTGATAAGTCCTGATCACATAGAAGTGCCATGTGGCACTATCATCTCGTGGAGACAATGAAGACAACAGGAGTATACGGTATCGACGTCAACCTCAGGTGAGTACCAATTCCCAATCATCCACAGATCCCTATCTCCCTCCTTGTTGCAACCAGTCACCTCATGTAGACAGCATGGCCAGTGCTACGCAGCAGCAGAGACAGGTGGCCTGCGCCACATCAGCAATGTAGACAGGTGGCGTGCGCCACATCAGCAATGAAGACGGGTGGCCTGTGCCATGTCAGCAACGAGGACAGATGGCCTGCACCACATCAGCAATGTAGACAGGGGGCATGCACCACATCAGCAATGAAGACAGGTGGGATGCGCCACTTCAGCAGAGGCTGGCGCTCATCAGAGAAGGCGCCAGCATGCTGCCATAGTCCCAAGTCGTTCTCCACAGTACCAGCGCACAGCCAGCGTCAAGCCAGCGTCCAGCCAGCGTCGAGCCATCGTCAAGCCAGCAACCAGCTAGAGTCAAGCCAGCGTCGAGGCAGCATAGCAAGACTGAATGTTGACCTCCTGGTAGTGTTTGAGGAGGCTGTCTGGCCTCAGGTCTCCCACCCACAGCCGTACAGATTGACTCACAGCCGAGGGCCTGGATTGCGTACAGTTGCAGACTTCCCTTTGGTCCTGATGCTGTCTGGGTACCTGCATACAAACAAGTGTGTGCGTCTGACTGGCAGCCTGGGCTGGGTACACATTGACTTTGACTGTTGGGTGTCAAGCAGTTGACTTCGGTTAACTGTCACCCGCTCAGGCCCTGAATTTACTTAGGGTCTTTTCTCTCCTGTGGCCTGGGTCTGAGTGTGGGGGCCTGGCGAGGCCCTTAGACATTCCAAGAGGCATACTTCATGGGTTATTGCACTCTCACCGATTCCTTTTTCTTCTTTTTTGGGCAGTCTCTCACCAATTTTGTCGTGGGTGAGGTCCCAGTAGTAAAGAGTATTTCGCCTGAATCTGGAGGCCGTCCTATGAGGAGAAGGGGCCGGGGGGGGGGGTCAGGTGTGCAGCCCATGTTAGTCAGAGTTGCTGCCTGTGAATTGTGTGAATTTTGTGTGTGTGTGTGTGTGTGTGTGTGTGTGACATAATACTCCTGCTCAACATGTCATTTGGGGCAAAACGCCTTGCTGTCATTTCCGCATGCCTCATCAACCAAGAATCCTGCCCTGCGCTGCGGCGGGTCGACTTGTAATAATAATAATTTGGGGGTAAGGTGGGGACTGTGTTTGGCATGGTTCATTCGATTGCAGAGGTGTAATTTCCGGTTGATTGGATGCTTGTGCTGTAACTTGTTTGCAGGTGACGATTGCTCACCTTAGGGAGCGGCCATCAACGAACACTGGGAGCAGCAGTGGGAGTGGCAGTAGCAGCAGCAGCAGTGGCAGCAGCACCGGGGGGGGCAGTTTTGTGAGTAGTTTTGCTAGCAGCACAACCACACGGTTGTCTTCGCGTCTACTTTCAGGTAATGGAGCAGGATTATTTCGCTCGGGGGGCAGCAATGGAATTGCGAGCAAGTTCACAGGAGGGAGTCGTGTGTTGCTTGGGGGAGGGACACCGAGTTCCACACCTGGAGGTGCCACAAACAGCACGCCAGGGGTGTCGGTAGATGGAGAAGGGACGTACCTTATTTTCAACGTAGGTGATGCACTCTTCATCAGTGACTACAACTCCCAAGACAAGGTGGGTGGCAGGTTCTAGTCCTTTTCTATTCACTTACGGCCATGTATGTCATCCTGATGACCAGATGGCAGATACGGAGTGCATGGGGGATTCAAAAAACAATCCTAACTTTCTATGGGCATATTCTCACAAGTTCTCTTCCGGTTCTTTGTCTTCAAACTGTTTGCTTCTTGCTTCCTGTATCCTCGGTGGAAGGGTGGTGAGTTTGCCTGAAAATATAAGGTGGTTTGCTGGAAAGGCAACCTCAAGACACTGCAAAACTGGGCTCCGGTTGATTATGTCTGATTAGTAGGCTGCCTGTGCCAGAACATCTGGCACATCAGAGCCTGGTATGCTGTTGCCCGAAGACTTGGATTGCCGGGTTGCTTAGTTTTTGCAAGCTGGTTTGGATTTATCAGAACTTGCTAATGATTTGGGGATGGCCAGCAGTTCCATACTCATTGGGAGTGTGTGTGTGTGTGGGCGTTGTCATATTCGCTGTTCACAACTCCACCAAAAAAAGCATGACTGTGACAGACTGTTTTGTCTGTGTGTGTGTGTCTCTCTGTTTGTGTGTGTGTGTGTGTGTGTGTGTGTGTGTGTGTGTGTGTGTGCGCGCGTGTTCATGTGCATGTGTGTGTGTGTCTNGTGTGTGTGTGTGTGTGTGTGTGTGTGTGTGTGTGTGTGTGTGTGAGAGAGAGAGAGAGAGAGAGAGAGAGAGAGAGAGAGAGAGAGAGAGTTTTGTGAAGATGCTACCTTTTGATAGGCCTGATTACTGGTAAAGTTTTTCTGGTTTATATTTCCCTTGCCTTTCTTTCCTTGGTTCGATCAGCATGGACTTGGAATCTGAGTTGTCTTTGATGTGTCCGCTTCGCAGATCATGTCGTTCACATTAAAAATAAATCCTTGCGTTTTTCTGTTGCTTCAGTTTGATGCGGTGTTCATCCATATCAGAAGAGTGATCCAGGTTGTCACGGAGTGGGTGCTATGTTTATAGCTTGTGGCAGCCACAATTTGGTCATGAAGATCGTGCATCTCTTACTGAGTCCTTTCTTTCCTCTGTGTTCTCATGTTTGTGGCAGGAACCTTTAAAATCACTATACTTCAGCAATGTACATCCCGGGTGCCATGCATTTAATCCTAGGGTAACGGATGGCCATGATTTGTTGATCGGGCTCACCACCGGGGATGGTAGGTGCAACGTCTTTCCGGGTCTGACCTCTGTGGAGTGGCTTGGCTTATGGCAAATTTTCATTCTGGTCCTAGAATCCAACATTCACTGTTCCGTCCTTATACTATACTCAGGTAAGGACTTTTGCAACTGATCTGTGGATGTCATTGCGGTGAGATACATACGAGACCAGTGGTAATTTCGGTCAGATACATCCACGATAGTGTCAGATCACCTGTAGACTGGTTGTGGACTATAGAACTTGTTCTGGTATCAGAATTCACAAGGCCACCGCTGTGATGATTGAGTTATGCTGTAAGGTCCTGTCCAATTCATGAGTCAACTTATTCTCTTCCCCTACTGGGTCTTTTTGGCCGTGGGCTGCATACGTGGCGGGGGTTTGCCACCGTCGGATGTTTGATCTGCGGCTGTCCTTCTGCGTCCAACTTTCCGCAGCCTCAAATGGCCGCCACGTACGGGATTTGCTGCCTATCACGGCGCAAGATGTTTGATCTGCGGCTGTCCTTCTGCGTCCAACTTTCCGCAGCCTCAAATGGCCACCACGTACGGGATTTGCTGCCTGTCACGGCGCAAGAATTTGCTCAACGTTTGATGTGATTCAGATCTACAGTTTGCTGTGGATGTGTTAAAAAATTTTGGTTTTTTATTTCGCTTTCCGTGTTGTTTTTCTGTTTTTTTATTGTGTTGAAGAAGAGACGGGGGCTCAAATCCAGCATTGTGCACTGCTGTGATGCAGAAACCGTGCGGTTTTTGAGAGTTTGATGGTTTTGCTGTTTCACAGAAAATGTGAAAAAAAAGAGAAAACAAGCAAACAGACAGGTGGGCCTCCGGACCTTGAAAGAGGATGCCAGCCTGGGCCAAGATGAAGAACGATGGAAAAGGGCAGCTACTATAGTAGATGTTGAACTTTTTAGAGGCAGAGTAGGGTCCCTAATAGACATGGGCCCACCCGTAGCTATATTAGCAGAAAAGCGCTGCAGAAGTTGAAGTTAAATTTGAAAGTCCAAAAGCTAGAAGATCCCATGGTCAGTATCCTCGCAGACATATGCGAATCGAGGATAACGTCTAGGGAGTCCAGGCGTATTTCCGCCTAGAGAAAGATGGGAAGGTAGAAAGAGTTCTCCATTCCTTGACTCTCCTCGTAGAGGACAATCTCCCATTCGGTATGGTCCTAGGTATGGATCGGGGAGAGGCAGTAGGAGCCACACTGCACTTGAGAGAGCACGAGTGTAGGCTTCCTAGTCTTTCAGGTGATGTCAAAACGACTCGCTTGTTTCATGTGTCCGGAGTAGATAACCCTCTGACACATGATGCCTCAGTGCTCCCGCATTCGCGCGATTAGTGGAGGAGCAGCTAGAAGAGCAGGTTTTTGTGGCCTATGTTAGGCCTGTCACTGAGCCTAATAAAGATCAACCCACCAACCCAATTATTGCCAAGCTGCTGGAAGAATACTCAGATTTGTCAAAGTCTCCTTGAGGAGTAGTTCCGCGTCCTATCCAGCACCTCATTGAGATAGAGCCTGGCAGTAAGACTGCCAAGGGAGCAGTGTATAGGATGTCTCCTAAGGAGTTGGAGGAGCTTCTCGAAAAGGGGTGGATTAGGCCCAGTTCGTCTTCATTTGGAGCACCTGTTCTTTTTGTCCCCAAGAAAGAGGGAGAACTTCGAATGTGCATGGACTATAGGGGTCTTAATGTCGTTACTGTGAAGATGGCAGAGCCACTGCCCCGTATAGACAATCTGTTAGATCGGTTGCAGGGTTGCAAGTACTTCATAGACTTGAAGTCAAGTTCACACCAGATAGAGGTTCACCCTGATGATCAGTAGAAAATGGCGTTCAAAACTAGGTATGGGCATTATGAGTTCATAGTTATGCCCTTTGGACTAGTTAACGCACCGGCTACGTTCCAACGTTGTATGAACGATTTGTTTAGGCCGTGGTTGGATAAATTCGTATTTGTGTACTTGGATGATATTTTGATTTTTAGCAACACCCTCCAGGAGCATGAGGCTCATATGAGGCAGATCTTGGAAAAGTTGCGCGAAGCAAATTTCAAGATCAACGCAAGCAAGTGCGAGTGGGCCAAGACAAAGATTTTGTACTTGGGCCACGTATCAGATGGTGATGGCATTAAGCTCGAGGACAGCAAGATTGCAACGATTAGAGATTGGCCAACCCCGCGTACACTCACAGAGTTGAGATTGTTCCTAGGATTGGCTAACTATTGCAGGAAGTTCGTAAGGAACTTCTCTGCAATTGTCGCTCCCCTTCGCAGACTGCGAAAGAAAAAGGCAATCCGGTAGGGGGGCCAAGACTGTACATCAACCTTGAAAAAGTTGAAGCGGGCCTTGATCGAATACCCAGTCCTCAAGGTAGTTGACCCATCTTTACCCTTTGTTGTCACCACTGATGCAAGTTAATATGGTACTGGTGATGTTTTACAACAAGACGATGGCAATGGGTATAGACTCGTAGAGTTCATGTCTGCTAGATTGCCTTCAGAGAAGGTAGCAACATCTACCTATGAGAGGGAACTCTACGCTCTCAGGCAAGCGTTAGATCACTTGAGACCTATGTGACACCTAGGCCACGGGCATTTCGACCGCTGCGGCCGAAAAAGTCGGCCGTGGCCGTGGCCCATGAGGCCCAATCCACGGCCTGTTTTTTTAATATTTTCTTTTTACCCCTAAAAATGTGCAAATATATATATATATAAGTCGGTGAAACTCCGACGAAACAGTTTGTCACAGCCCCTCGTTTGTTGTCCTCTTCTCTCTCTCTGCCTACGGTTTTACCGGGCAGTTCTGTTTGTGACGATATATATAGAAACTCCGACGAAACAGTTTGTCACAGCCCCTTGTTTGTTGTCCTCTTCTCTCTCTCTGCCTACGGTTTACCGGGCAGTTCTGTTTGTGACGATATATATATAGGGGCGTAGGGCTTGGAAAACCCTACAATCCTATGTTTTTTATTTTGGAATCGGACTTCGTTTGAGATTTTTAAAAAATGAAAAACGAAATTCGATTTAAACAAAATATTAAAAAAAAAAAAAAGAGCAGGATTTTTCTTTTGTCATTTTTTATCAAGAGGGATGTGGTCCCTGAGTTGTGCTGTATTTTTTTAGAAATGAATTTCGGTTTTTTGCAGGTAAATTAGGTGTTTAAAAAAAATGAAGATGCAAAAATTGAAAACAAATAAACAAAAAAAGGGTTTGATTGATTGATTGTGTGTGTGTGTGTGTGTGTGTGTGTGTGTGTGCCCTCGTGTGTGTGTCTGTCATGTGTGTGTGTGTGTGTGTGTGTGTGTGCGCGCGCGCGCGTGTGCCGGGGAGGCAAGGGAGGACCCCTCCCCCACCAATCAATCAATCAATCAATCAATCAATCAATCAATCAACCCATCAATCAATCAATCAATCAATCAATCAATAAAAAACCAATTAATCAATGATTTTTTTTCCCTATTTTTTTAGTTTTTTGTCACACATAAAAAAACACCCCCCGAATTTTTTTTATTTTTTTTATTTTTTTTTGCACAGGCCTACAGCGGCCGACATGCGCAGGCCGCGCGCGCCGCCGCCTGGCTGTGGCGCGGCCACAAAAAAACTCGGCCGCGCAGCCTAGGCCGCGGGCCTGCGGCCAGCCTCCTCGGCCGCGGCCGAGTCGGAGGCGGCCGCGGCCTAGGAGGACACATAGCTTGAGACATTGCTTGCTTGGGAGACTTCAAAGTTTATTCAGACCACGAAACGTTGAGGTGGTTTAAGATGCAGGGCCGAGATGACACCTAAGCTTACTAGGTGGGCCGCAAAGATAGATCAGTTTGACTTCGAGCTCAAGCCAGTCAAGGGGAAGTATAATGTGGTTGCAGACACCCTTAGTAGGATAGCCGACTGCTTTGGAGGCATAGTTCACTATGTGGATATAGGGTCAGACTTACAACAAAAAGTTGTAGACGCATATGCATCGGACGCTAGCTATGGTGACCTCCTAAAGAGAGTTAAGGAGAACCCAGCCAGTGAACCGCATTACTAGACCATTAATGGGTTGTTATTTGAAAAGACAGACGCCGTAGACCGACTACTAGACCATTAATGGGTTGTTATTTGAAAAGACAGACGCCGTAGACCGACTGTCCGTTCCCAACAGTGAGGACTTTCGCAGTCTGATCCTTGGAGAATGTCACGATACGGAAGGGCACTTCTGTTGGTAAAAGACCCTCGCCACTTGATGCGTGCCTATATGTGGCCTGACATGAAAACTAACTGCATAGAGTATATGCGTTGTTGCAAGGTAGGCCAGCGCAACAAAACTACGACGCGAGCCCCATTGGGTCTTCTCAGACCCCTACCTATTCCATCAGGACCTGGAGTATCTGTGCCCATTGACTTTATGCATGCTGGGGTCAGGAGTAGGCATGGCAAGAGCCAAGTCATGGTCATTGTAGACCGTTTTAGTAAATACACAGTTTTTGTTCCTTTTGCCTTTTGAGGCACGAACCGAGTTAGTAATATCGAAGTTTTTTTATCATTGGGTCATTGATAGAGATACCAGGTTCACTAGTCAAAACTGACAGGAACTTGTGAAGGTATACGGTTCTAAGTTGCTTATGTCATCTGGCCGTCATCCAGAGACTAATGGCCAGACTGAACAGATGAACAAGGTCCTGCAACAAGTTCTTAGAATGTACATTAGACCCGATCAAGTCAACTGGGACGAGATGCTCCCAAAGGTAGCCAGAGCGTACGACAACAACGTTCATCTAGCAACCTGCTCCCAATGAACTGCATAAGTCCCTTAGACCGCGTAGACCGTTTGAGGGAATAAACCGGGATCAGATCCAAAGGTTACCGCTTGGTACTAGGGAATTTGCGCTACAGTATCAGAAAGAGATTGCTACAGTAATAGAGAACCTCAGGAAGGCCCAACATAAGATGATAGAGCAAGCTAATAAGCACCGTCGTCCATCTCAGTTTCAAGTAGGCGACTTAGTCTGGGTCAAGTCCAAAGAGTTTGCTCCTGAGGAAAACATCTCGCAAAAACTGTTGCCTACGTACAGAGGACTGTGGACAGATTTAGAAGTCAAGGGCAGAGAGGATGGACAGTCGTATTCCGTAGAGAT